CATTTCGCAGCAGACGCATTAGCCATCGCTTCATCTCCGTTAAATAATTCTGTCAGATTACCGATTTTATCTGCGTAAAATACAGGAGTGAATTCTGGATGCTGATTGGTTGAAAAATTTCCATCAATCAAAGTATAGTTAAATAAAGAATCCTCTTCCTTAGCAACCAACCAAGATTGTCCAAATTCAAATAATTCTTCTTCTTTTGCATCATGGGATAGAACTGTACCATTGAAAAACAGGAAGTCGTCTGCCATGTTGCCGTTAGCAACACCTAATAATCCTTTAGTGTCACTGAAGTTTCCAAAGAGTTGAAAGGTCATGTGATCCATGGTGGGTTGAATTTTTATGGATTGACCATTATTGAAAGTGATGACGTAATCCTTGTCCATCTTTTTGACCATCATTTCATCAGTCATGACATCAGTGGCTTGTACCATGCCGTCCAAATAGAATTTCAAATCAGATACATCCATCATGAATTCTAACTTTGCAGATTCTTGATATTTCACAGCTATTCCTATTATCTGAGTTGCCTCCCCTGTCTCTCCGCCAGTCACTTGGACCAGACCAGTTCGAATTTGAATGTCAAGTTTCCTGAATTTCAAAAATTTAAATAAAATATTGGAATAAATTGTTTGAAATCAGTTTTCGATGAAGCAAAGAATGACGTCCACCCCAGAAAAAACATAAAACATCTAATCTCGATATTTAACGAAGATAAAATTGTGATTATTTCAGTAATCTAATGTAGTGATTGACCAATCAGATGACATGAACACTAATATCATCTTGAGCTAAGTTTTCAAGATAGCGCCAAAGATTGATAGAATCCCTTAAAAGAATTACTTACTATCCTGAGTTCTCGTGGATAATGCCTCAGATTGATTAAAAGAATAACTTACTATCCTGAGTTCTCGTGGATAATGCCTCAGATTGATTAAAAGAATTACTTACTATCCTGAGTTCTCGTGGATAATGCCTCAGATTGATTAAAAGAATTACTTACTATCCTGAGTTCTCGTGGATAATGCCTCAGATTGATTAAAAGAATAACTTACTATCCTGAGTTCTCGTGGATAATGCCTCAGATTGATTAAAAGAATAACTTACTATCCTGAGTTCTCGTTGATAATGCCTCAGATTGATTAAAAGAATTACTTACTATCCTGAGTTCTCGTGGATAATGCCTCAGATTGATTAAAAGAATAACTTACTATCCTGAGTTCTCGTGGATAATGCCTCAGATTGATTAAAAGAATTACTTACTATCCTGAGTTCTCGTTAATAATGCCTCAGATTGATTAAAAGAATAACTTACTATCCTGAGTTCTCGTTGATAATGCCTCAGATTGATTAAAAGAATTACTTACTATCCTGAGTTCTCGTGGATAATGCCTCAGATTGATTAAAAGAATAACTTACTATCCTGAGTTCTCGTGGATAATGCCTCAGATTGATTAAAAGAATTACTTACTATCCTGAGTTCTCGTTGATAATGCCTCAGATTGATTAAAAGAATAACTTACTATCCTGAGTTCTCGTTGATAATGCCTCAGATTGATTAAAAGAATAACTTACTTTTCCTGATGAAGCGACTGTATCAAAATATATTCTCCGAATCCATTAAATGTAAAAACATTACTGTCAATTGTATGGAAATGAGGGTCACCAAATATTATACCTGAAAGAATCAGCCATGTATAAGGAATTTTTAAAAAATATAATAATTACATATACAAGCATGTCTTCAATGTCCCTGTGCCCCACACAGTATCCCTATACAGCAAAGTATCTTCCCTTGTTTGTACAACTCTTCGATAAGCCTACCATGCGAATGTATTTTGGTACAGGATTGGGGCATAGGAACATTGTAGAATATCTGGTAATATCTTGATGGATTAATTAACGGTTCAGCTTTGTACAGATACCAAAATTTATACCAAATTTTCATTATGGTGAAAATTCTCAAAAACTAGTGACCTAAAATTTTACGTCAGGCCCCAAATATGCTGATATCCCATCTGTATATTATATCCTAGGATATAGGATATCTGAAAATTGATTGTATTTATGATAAGGTCTATAACGTCAATGTAATTTTCAAACAAGGATAATTATGGATACACATGGCTAAGAAGGTCAAAAAATTCGACAGTAATCTACGAATACCTTAACCGATTAGCTAAGCTGAACAATGCTCAATTCTGAGACCAAGGTATGATTGACCTCTGAAATTTTTGACCTGCCCAAATTACCTGTTTTAACATGATAGTTGTCACAACTGGATCGTCTGACAGTTGAGGTAAACATTGAACAGGAGCTGGAATTCACCCCACAACAAATCGATCTGGAATTTGTCACCAAGTCAGCTATGGTAGTATTCTTAGGCATGCTATATCCATGACCTGTTTGAATGATATTCAAACTGCCTGATACTCTGTAATTAGTTAATGATTTGACATAACTGGAGATAGAAGGATACAAAAATACATTTTAAAATTTTGCATCATTAATTTAATCTTTCTTTACAATTAGTTTAAAGAGATATAGCCACTAAATATTTACTTCACTAATAACTCAAAACTGAGAGAGCTCATATTCAGATATTCTATCTTAAATTATTTTGAATCATGCCTGACTAAGCATAAATATTTTAACCTGATAATTGATTAGTTTGTTTGACAGGACTGATTTGATGAATAAATTTACTTTCAATCAAAAATTACTTACTTTTCAAAACAACATAGCTGTTTTTCATCATTTTCTTGAAAAAACACTTGCTTAAAACATTTCTGTTTGGTATTTTCCGAGTCCATTTCAAACTGTAGATCTAGTTCAGCTTGGTACAGACTACATGGACAAGTTCCAGGGTCTTTCACAAGCGTCATTCCATTCTCAGACATCTGTTTGTAATATGCCGAATATTTCGCGAGATTTTTATGACACTCTGAGTCTGGATTATCCAGTTTCTCGTCGTTCTCAAACAGTGGCATTATCATTCTCTTATTCTCTTCTGCAAGATAAGATAAGAGTTGAACAATATTTAGAAGCGGAGAGTCTAATGAAAAAACAAGGGAATATATTACAGTGTAACACACTTCATTAATAACAAACTACATAACATTTCAAACAGTGGAACAACAAGTCTCTTATTCTCTTCTTCAAAAACGATTTAATACTTTCAAATCATTGCAAGGGGAAATGAAATGAAATTAAATGGAGATCTTCCTGTTTATGCACCTAATTGTGCTAATGAAAACTGTCAACACCATGCAGTGTGCAATGAGAGAAATTTTGCCATTGGCATTAGCCTACTCTTTTTGATTTCCACTGTCAAAAGATCTTTACTAACAAGGCCTAGGTTGAGATAAACTACACGCCTTTCCTTTCAGACTCTCCGACCTTCATCACTGATTTCAAGACCCAGCCCTTAGTTATTTTGTAGTATCTATATTGCTCATGTGTTGTTGTTTCATATGTCCTTCCATCACTATGAATTATTACTACTTCATTGCTACTTTACACTATGTCTTACCTGGTGTAAATTGTTTTATCTGTTCTGTGGTTGGTCCTGTAAGAATGCTGGCAACACTTCTATCTTCACTGTGTGGCCAGAGTTTACCATAATTCATCACAGCGTAACCTTGTTTCCCATTGGTGATATAGGCCAGTTGGAATGTAATGGACTGAAGTTATAAAATATCAAAATAAAATATAAGAAGAGGAAATTGCATGTCCTACTTTTTTCATCCTTGACGGATCCAATGAACCTGGCAATGTTAGGCAGTTACCCCTTTGGATTTATATATCGTTGTTTCAACTCATCTCACTCAAATTAGGGAATTTCATTAAGATAGCACCATTAGCCTTTATGATTCTATTTCCCACAGTTGATATATCTTTGGTCTATTATTATCTATTGATCTAATACACTTTACACATCTGAGGAATATCTTTGAAATATCAAATTAGGTCAATTAATGCATGCACATGCAAATCAAAAACAATAGCCAACTTACCAATTTGTCTTTATTAATAGACGCAGGAAATGGCGTGAACTGATGCCATGTTACCATGACAACATATTCAGCAGCAAACATCAATTTATTGGCATCATGACCTCTGATTATTTGTGAAAACATGTCAAGGTCATCGCTATTGGAAACGACCTCACTTGAATATTCAGAAATGACAATACTGGAATTCTGAGTATCGGGAATATCATTCATCCACCAATAAGGAGCCAGTATTTTATAGTTATCAGCATCGGACCAATCAGAAAGGTTTGAAGGGGGATAATTCTGTTCAAAGCGTTTGCCAAACGTGATATAACCATTTGTGCTGACCTAGAAAAAAATTAATTTTTCACTAAATAAGGAAAAATAAAATTATATTCACAATTTAGGTCTTCAGGGAACCAGGGGTCTGTATACAAAAAATACAACGTTGAAGTTTTTGAACCTATTTTATGTTTCCAGTTGGTCCTTCATCAAAACTGTCAGATCAGTTTCAAAACTGTGCACTCGGAAATGGCAAATTTAGAAACTTTAAAAAAGACTGTGATAAAGCTGACTATAGTAAGGTAAAGGAGGGGTGTGCACTCAGAAATGGGAGTGGCCAATTGATTTAAGCCCCACCCTAGTAAATAAAACAACTTACGTAAAGAGTTGTATAAAGCTGTTTATAGTAAGGTATTGATGGGGTTTGTAATCTATGAACTGTATTAGCCATCGTAATAGTTTTAATACTTCCATCTGTTTTATCTGGTATCATTACAATCTCTAAAATAATGGATAATTTTATTTAAAAATTCAGAAAAAATACTTGTGGACATCTGGTTACACAAACAGATTAATTTTTGGGCCACTTGCTGTTGTTATTAAATACATTTCAAAGGATGATTCACGATTGCATTTTCTCTCACTTTTACAAATTTCATATTGGAATATAGAATATATATATACAAATTAATTGATAATCTCAAATCTTACCTATACACATGTCATTCATTTTTCTGTAACCATGGCTACACTCGCATAGATACGACCCGTTAGTATTGGTACAGTTGAATCCTTGACCTTGACATTCTACTTTACATTCGTCAAAATCTATAAATAGAACAGATAACAGAGTCAGACGGAAAGATGTTCATTTTGTTTCAACTTTTCTGTTTTTAGAAGGAAAATGGAATGTCAGTTTGCATCTCATCTGTATTTCAAAATCTATTGACCATGACCTTGACACTGTGACCTTGCATAAATCAAATTTGATAAAGCTCATCTCTTACAGTTAAAAAACTTTGTACGCGGCAGTAAATTTAAACCAATCAACCTTTCAAATAAGCGAGGTAGGGTAGATGAGTTTTTATGTACAAAACTAACTGTATGTTTGTAGAAGAGTGTTCATTGGTTGGTTTGAAAATACATGACATCATGAATGTTTCTCCTGAATACAAGGTTAATCTGCTAAAGTGAAACTTCAGATATATGTAGACCATGTCTAATATGAGACTTCACGAACTAGTATGAAAACTCAAAGAATAGGAGCTCTGTCACCCATAATAAGATCATAAAATATCTTCCTGACTCAGCATCCAAATACAGACAATTAATCACGACAAAAAAATTTCATTTGAAAACAAAAGACATTGTAAAAATAACATATAAGATGACAAACATCATTAATTTCATGAAATAAATGTAATTGTTGACCCTCCAGATTAATGATTTTTAAACCAACCATGGCTAATAGCTGCATTTATTTCAGTAATAATCATATATCAGAAGGTTTTTTTTGACAAGTTGTTTTCACACCTGTGTTTCTACCTGCACTGCCAAGTAAATGTTATGTTAGATAACCCGTGAAAAAATTGTCAAATTGTCCAGCTAAAAACTGACCATTTACACATTCCGTCAGTAAATTGAATTTGGCTGATTTTGTTTATTTATCCACTCATATTCCCCTCCGCCACCCATATCCTACCCCCCGGCCCCACCCTTATCTCAAGATTACCCACCTTCAGTACAGTTGTCACCAGACCAAGTTTCACCACAGTGACATTTATATGAACCAAACGATTCCTGGCAGTAGCCTCCATTTTGACATGGACTCTCAGAACATTCTAGCACATCTATAGAAAAAGAAAAAGAATTATTTTTGAAACAAAATGCATTGAGGAAGATGAAGGGGTCACAATCAGTTGGTAAAACTACCAGTGGATGAAACTGTAAATGGGTATAGACAATCAATGAAAGATCAATACCAATGTTTCCTTCATTCATTCTTACCTTGATCACAGTTTTTACCCTGTAGACCAGACGGACAGGAACATATATAGTTGCCTACCCCGTCCGTACAATTTCCACCATTTTTACACGGGTCTGACTCACAATCATTGATCACTACAAAAAATAAAATATTAACTTATAACACAATCTCATCAGGAAATTTCTAAATGTTTAAATCTTAATTCCAAATACAAATTTTTTATTTCATATCTTCTCAGTAGGTTACTCCGTGTAAACCGGTTTTCATTTCATTATAACTACAACTTGTTGAAAATACAGAAGTATTGTATCTTGTTTTGTTAAATATTCTAATCTAAAATCTATAAAAGTCATGTTTACTGTGATAATATTCATTTTTTTAACCTCCTTAGATCAAAGTTAACAAGTGTAATTAGATATAGTTCAAAAACATAACTTGTGTGGGGTAGCATTTACATTTTTGAATCCATAGGATGATGATTACCAGAAAGGTCACAAAGATATAAATGCTATTTCAGTGTTGGTGTTTGAACCCCAGGGAGTGATTTATTTAAAAAATTATACCCACTCTGATCACACAGCAGTCCTTGGTAATCTACCGGACAGGCACAACTAAAATTACCGGTCCCTACATCTTGTAGACACTTCCCATTAATACAGGGATTCTCGGCACATTCATTTACATCTGAAACAAATATCAGTTTTAATACTTTCTTCTAACCATGTAGATAAAATCAATGTCAAGAGGTTTGGTAGGATTCTATAGAACTCAGCAGGTTAAAAAAGAGGCAGATGATATACAGGGTCTTCTGGAATTCATGCACCAGTTTGTTAGGTTGTATCCCATCCCATGTTGATCAAGACTAGGTTAACTTGCTTTGTGCTACAATGTACGTGATTTCAAAGACATAATGACACTCACCCTCAGAACATGTATCTCCCATCCAACCTATCGTACAGTTACACACGAAGGAATTAGTTCCGTTGTCCGAACATACTCCATCATTTTTACACGGCATTGACAGACAATCATCTTTATCTTATAACAGAAATTAAACAATAAATATTATTTTTCTTTTAAATGTAGTGAATAACATTACCAAACTCATTAAAAACATTAAAATGAAGATGAAATGAGTGGAGTTCATGTCCTACTTTTCTGCCCCATGTGGGCTAATAAATAAGGGCAATGCCATGCAGTGTGCAATGAGGGAAATTTTGCCATGATAGCGGCATTAGCCTGCTCTTTTTCAATTTCCAACTGTTGGAGGATCTTTAAAATGCACAGCCTGTAGCATACAGGGCCTCAGTTTATTGTCCCATCCAAACAACTAGACGCTTTTTCATGTCAGCCATGTCTTACCTGCATCACTGACAGGGGGAACCAGGTTAAAAAATCTAAGGTATTATCTCAACCTATACTAGGATTGAACCCTGGACATTCAGGTTAGCGAGCGTCTTACTCACTGAGCCATCAAAACTCATTTAAAGAAGCACATGAATTGAAATGGAATTTAGCAAGCAAATGTAAGCACCTTTAATATGTTTCAATAATACAAAGTGGGCATGTCCCAATAAAAAGACTTACCCTCATTGCAGAGCCACCCCTCCCAGCCTTCAGTACAGTTACATGTATAGTTGCCATCCCCACTGACACAAACAGCTGAATTCATACAATTATTATCCACACAAAAATCTGAAAAAATACAACATATTTATTTTAAATTGGTTGCCATGACCAGGTTAAACTCCATGTTGGATTGATTTATGACAAGTTAATGTCCGCTTCCAGATAAATCTTAAAAGCAGTGGACAGAAAATACACCATCTGATGGTGCTCAATTTGGCGCAAGCAATATTTCCTGAGGGGCAATGGGTTTTGGTCTTAGTCAAAGTAATGAAATTGGTAGGTTGTCATAATTTTTTAAGGGCGCCATCCATTTTTATGCCCCCCTCCTTACCCCCTGTAACTTCGAGTCTGGTTTCAAAGCCAGAATACATGACCCCATCTTCTCACCCCCTACCCCTCATATCTCGTCCACACTTCATCCGGTCATTGAGAATATAATCTATTAATCATCAATATACAGTAATTATAATAACAATGTTTCTATGACCCCTTCCTCCCCCTCCCCTACCCCCCTTTTGAGCTTCAACCAGTGTCAATGAAAATAAAAATATTGCCCATCAATCAACAATAGACTATTTATGATAACAATGTTTCTGGGCCAGAGTATTTCAGGGTATTCACTTATGAACCACCGGACATTGTTCTACATTGTATAATATTGTAATAAAATAACAGTGCACCAATTTTATTGATAAATATTGACAAATTCTGTATTTTATCATCAAACACTGAACTTTTAAATAATGCTAGGAATTTATATTAATATCAATAATCAAATGCAAAAGTGTAAAAAATTAGGCCACATGTTACCAATGAGCATCAGTTTGTTACATGTTAAAGAGACACTTTTGCCATCTGTTTGACCAAGCATACCTTAGTCTCAGAGACAGGAATTTTTTAGCTGAGCTTATCAGTAATAGTGTTAGCTCACTGTCGAAATTCGAGCCTTCAAATCAATGTGTCAAGAAATATCTGCGATTGACAGTTAAAATGAGGACTTGTCTTTTCTTGAGACTCTACCATATATAGAAAAGACATCTATAGAAATAGGAAAAGAAAGGGGAAATTTCTTGTTTGAAGAGTACAGAAACTATTTTAAGGGATAATGTGTGAATTTCTAGTTCATCTTCAGACTATTAACATAATCAAAACCCAAATTAAACAATGGCCTTTAATTATTAGTAATGTTTGAAACTAGTGAAATGAATGATACAGAAAAGTGATCAATATCAGTTGGTTTCTAGCGAACACAGTGGTGGTGCCAGCCTTCAAAACTGTGTGAACATGGCTTAATACTATTCTATAGATCACAATTAATGGTCATTATAATATGAACAGTGTGATAGAATGTTGATTATTTTTTAATTAGTAGTAATGTTTATAACTAGTGAAATGAAGAATGTAAACATACTAATCAATACCAACTTGTTCACTTTCCAATTATTCACTGTACTAGGTAAATATAAAACAGTACCTTAATTTCTACTTATTGGTAATAGTGTTTTAGTTCGGTAGATTCCCCAAGGAGTTGTTTGGATGAGACAATAAACCAGCGCCCACAGTATTATATTTTGAACTTATAATCAGTACTAATAGAGAGGTGAGACCCACAGGACCCAATGATCCATCCCATAATTACGCAACTGGTTGTCTATTTATTTCGATCATCGATTATTTCAATATTTGGACTCTCATATTTTTCAAGGATAACAACTTAAGTTCACAGTTATGGATCCTTTCTACCAGCTGGTCCTTGGCCAAACTTTTTGGGACTATCAGTACCCATTTACAGCTGGGTCAAGATAACTTATTCAAGTTTACAGAAACTGATCAAGATTAGAACATACAAGGAGAACGTGTCATTATCATTGTTATTAGAAAATGCAAATTATTGTGCAAATGACTCCCAGCTATATCATATCCTGTTTATCACCATATTATCTTGGTTAAAATCATGCTCACTCTTCAAGTATCATTTACACTTGAGGCCAAATCAATTCACTAATTATACAACATCAAAATTTCTATACATACACTCAGTCATGTCTTTCAATTTGATATACATACACTGAGTCATGTCTTTCAATTTGATATACATACACTGAGTCATGTCTTTCAATTCAAATTTGAAATGAAAAACGTTGGAAATAAATTTTGTTACAAGGTTGAAACAGTTCCACTGCTACAGATATGATCTACTATCTCAACAAGTCTGATTACAACCCTTAAGAATTTTGTACCCAAAACCCTGTAAAGCATAAGATACAGCCATCTAGGGGTTGATTAAACATGTAATGTATATGCATGGAGGGGGTCAGGTTTAGGGTGGTCCTATTACTGTGTTTTCTGACAGTGCTTACACAAAATTTCTCCTTAACAAATCGGTATAAAATAAAAGATAATGGCACATTATAAGCATGAGTTATATCTAAATAAAACAATTAATATACATCGATATATTTCTAGAATATTGACATACTAACTGAGCGTATAAAGTCATTGACTGGAACCATTCAGTAATTAAGATAAAGTCTCTTTTATAAATAATTTATCTAAAACTCTGCCTGATTCATCACACTCATTTTTCAGTAACATCAACAACACTTCTGCATCAATAATTTGACTTTTTCATGCCTTGACAATATAACAACAAATATACTTGATAACTTGTTAGTTTAACAATTAACATCATCAACTAGGACAATTCATCAATTAAAAGAGATTGTAAAGAGGTTTTGTGAACATTTTATGTGCATTGGGAACACTGATAGTATCAAGTTCCAATTGTCTGTGGTTCCTGCAATTCCACCAAAAAATAAGTGTTTCATGATATCACGTAACACAAAATATGTTTGTATGACAAAGGGCTCTATACGAATAGTGACGAAAACCTCTTTACAAGCCCTTTATGTATACGAAGGGTCCCACTGGCAAGGGGTATCTTTATTTTATTCATACTGTATGCATGAAAGAACCTGAAAGAGTTATGCATTTCTAATTATTTCATTTTACAAGATCTTCAAGGTTGTTTGTTTGTTGAAAAACTTAAATAACATATTATTTGTAAGATCAAAACTCTTCAACTGGAACTGTTGAACCCACTGCCACTCTTTGCTTGACGTAACCAAGCGAATGACGTCATGTTAAGAACCAACGCTCTAACCGACTGTGCTATACAACCTCAGAAACGTGTTTTCTAAAAACTTAATATTCTAGAGAAACTGAGAATATGAGTTAGTCATAATTTATTCAAAACCAAGCCTGAATAGCATTGCACATCTTCAATTACTTTCAATATTCTCTATGGAATATATATTATATATCATTCAATATAACCTATTCACACTGAGAACTTTGTAGTTTAAAGACACTATATTTTGTTATGTTGATAACTCTTAATCAATGCAATACATCTCATCAACTGGAGCAAATCAACTATTCAAATTCATGAACATGAGATGTGCTCGTTTCATTTTTATATTATCTTTAATGACATTTATTTTTGCACAATGAAGCTCTGTAATTTTGAAATTTATGTAAGTATCTTTATATGGGCCAGTGACTTTAATTATATAAAAATGAAATAAAAGTAACAATGTACTACAAACATGTAGTGAATTGAATAATTCAGCAAGAAAACCCCTGGTGATATCAAATAACTTTTATACATGTCATTAAATACATTATTAACATAGTTTGAGTTCTAGAAGGTTATAAAGGAGGTATGTATAGCCTTTAGCCCCTTTTACACCAGGAAGTTATGAAGCATTCCATTCTCAGTCAGGACCAGGCCACGATAAAAGGTGCCCATTTACACGACAGTCACTCAAGTGATCTGAGAACGGTTCTCCAATTATAGTGTTAACACAACTGTTCTCAGCAAGGTTATCACTGTGGAACTCTTCATGAAGAAGTTAAATTTAGTCCCTCTATTCCTTTATATTACAGTATAACTATAATTCAAGTGATTCTTCTTGGCATGTTTATATTGAACGCCAGGTTGACGTCAGAGGGGGGGGAGGAAGGGGGGAGGGGCGCGAAATATCTGAGGTTCCCGAATTTCTAACCTAGTTATGAAAGTCATGCCCAAAAAACTTGCATTTTGGGCTAACCGTTGTTAGGGCCTGGGTTCCACCAAGTGAGCATTAAGCCCTAGCAAAACCTTTTTCAGATCAGCAGAGTTTGATTCATTTCATTTGTACAACATCAAAATGCTATAGATTTTGATACATTTTTTAGCGCCTCAAAATTGTCAGAAATGAGTACTCTGGGCCTTTAATTCTTCAAATTTTCAGAGTTCAAAATCTGAGCCCCAGCACTAATTCATTCCTGGCAATGAAAGTCTTCCATGGTAATTAATTTTAAAAATCAATTACAACTGTGAAATTCTTGTCAGTCCTGTTAACAGCTATAAATTATTCTATTTTTAAATTAAAACACAGTTTTTAGACTAATGGATATCTTTTTATCAATTGGTAATGGAGAATGTCTATCACAGTAAATTTCAATAGAACGCCAGTTTGGATTGATTAATCGACCTACCCCATATACAACTCATAACTCACTGATAGTATTGCATGATTACACAATTATTACAAAATACCTGTTATCTGAGGGAAATTTACTCTTACTTTTTCAATATTTGAATCTTAAAATTTTTCCTTTGTCCAACAAATAGGCAATATTGATTACAACATAGAATATTTCCTGTGGGTTTTTTTACTAGATCTGATAGTTTGTTTCATTTATTTTCTGTGGGTTATTTCCTCTATAATTTACAGATCGAATCGTTTCCTAGTATTCATATTTTTGATTGACAAATGAGACAAATCAAGGAGAACGAAAGAATATTGAAAACTTTTCTATTGAAATGAAGAAATATTTGTACTAAGTTTGTAATGATCAATCTAGAAAATAGGTACAGAATGTAAATCACCATCTATTAGTGCGGTGATAACATAATTATCATTATCTTCACGAAATTTCCTTTCTCTATTCAAAAATCTGAAAATTAATTAAAAAAAAAATTGGTTTCAATCGAATTGGTAATACTGATGTAATACAGAT